TATAAACATTTATATTATAGATGATACATGTTATAAACATTTATATTATAGATTATACATGTTATAAACATTTATATTATAGATGATACATGTTATAAACATTTATATTATAGATGATACATGTTATAAACATTTATATTATAGATTATACGTGTTATAAACATTTATATTATAGATGATACATGTTATAAACATTTATATTATAGATTATACATGTTATAAACATTTATATTATAGATGATACATGTTATAAACATTTATATTATAGATGATACATGTTATAAACATTTATATTATAGATGATACATGTTATAAACATTTATATTATAGATGATACATGTTATAAACATTTATATTATAGGTTATAAACATTTATATTATAGATGATACATGTTATAAACATTTATATTATAGATGATACATGTTATAAACATTTATATTATAGATTATACGTGTTATAAACATTTATATTATAGATGATACATGTTATAAACATTTATATTATAGATGATACACGTTATAAACATTTATATTATAGATGATACATGTATATTAAAACATTTATATTATAGATGATACATGTTATAAACATTTATATTATAGATGATACATGTTATAAACATTTATATTATAGATTATACATGTTATAAACATTTATATTATAGATTATACATGTTATAAACATTTATATTATAGATGATACATGTTATAAACATTTATATTATAGATTATACATGTTAGAAACATTTATATTATAGATTATACATGTTAGAAACATTTATTTATATTATACATGTTGAAACATTTATATTATAGATTATACATGTTATAAACATTTATATTATAGATTATTACATGTTAGAAACATTTATATTATAGATGATACATGTTATAAACATTTTATATTATAGATGATACATGTTAGAACATTTATATTATAGATTATACATGTTATAAAACATTTATATTATAGATGATACATGTTATAAACATTTATATTATAGATGATACATTGATATATTATAGATGATACATGTTAGAAACATTTATATTATAGATGATACATGTTAGAAACATTTATATTATAGATGATACATGTTAGAAACATTTATATATGAACATAAACTGAAGATTCTAACATCAGTAAAGTGAAAGTCTTTTATATTATTAATGTCTTTAACATCATAAACAGATTTTTGTGCTGATTATTTTCTGATGATTTGTCATTTATTCTGTGTTTCATCTTCCTCTCACTTCCTCCTCCTCCTCCTCTCATCCTTCCCTCCTCCTTCCTCTCCTCCTCCTCCTCCTCCCTCTCTCCTCCTCCTTCCTCCTCCCTCCTCTCCTCCTCCTCCTCCTCCTCCTCCTCCTCCTCCTCTCCTCCTCTCCTCCTCCTCCTCCTCTCTCGTCTTCCTTCTCTCTCGTCTTCGTCTCGTCTCGTCTCTCGTCTCGTCTCTCTCGTCTTCGTCTCGTCTTCGTCTTCGTCTCGTCTCGTCTTCGTCTCTCTCGTCTTCTCGTCTCTCGTCTTCGTCTTCGTCTCTTCGTCTCGTCGTTCGTCTTCGTCTTCGTCTTCGTCTCGTCTTCGTCGTCTCGTCTTCGTCTCGTCTTCGTCTCGTCTTCGTCTTCGTCTTCGTCTCGTCTCGTCTTCGTCTCGTCTTCGTCTCGTCTTCTCTCGTCTTCGTCTCGTCTTCGTCTCGTCGTCTCGTCTTCGTCTTCGTCTTCGTCTTCGTCTTCGTCGTTCGTCGTCTCGTCTTCGTCTCGTCTTCGTCTCGTCTTCGTCTCGTCTTCGTCTTCGTCTTCGTCTCGTCTCGTCTCGTCTTCGTCTTCGTCTCGTCTTCGTCTTCGTCTCGTCTTCGTCTCTTCGTCTCGTCTTCGTCTTCGTCTTCGTCTCGTCTTCGTCTTCGTCTTCGTCTCGTCTTCGTCTTCGTCTTCGTCTCGTCTTCGTCTCGTCTTCGTCTTCGTCTCGTCTCGTCTTCGTCTTCGTCTTCGTCTTCGTCTTC